CGATCAAGACCCGCGCGCCGCGCTGTAGAGAGTCCTTCGGGCGCTTATTGGTCGCCGTGGGCCAGCCCGGTATCGAGTTTTCGTCTGACGCCGTGGCACGTGACCTCCGTTCTCCAGTCTGGCACGAGGATGACGTCAGGCGGCGTCCGACGAATTCCCGGAGCCTGGCTTCGTGCCGGCTTCGAAAAATTTCTGACCGCGTAGAACCGATGCTCCGACCGACCGGTTCCCCTATCTCCTTGGACTCCGCAATGTTGTCTTTTTTAGCGGGCCCCAGTCGCGCGGCAACGCTTTTCGACGGCACTAACGGTTACGAATAATCGATTGGTTGCGGAGATTTTGGCGTTTGGCTCGTTCCGAGGGAACTTTTGGTCTTTGCGTTTCGTTTCGGACGCGGGTTTCTCGATACATTTTTCTCTTCGGTATTCGGTGGGATTCGCGTTGTTGTAGTTGTATTAGGTTCGTAATGTTTAAGTTTACTCTCGTCGTTCTCGCGGTTTGCGTCGTTGGGAATTCGGCTTCGTCGTATAGATGTAGGTTCGTCGAGTTCCTAGAACGGTGAATGTATTTCGAAACGCAATAGTGGGTGGTGAGTATGGCGAATTAAATTATGGGCCGTATTTCCGTGGAATTTATAGGGGACCATGCTCGGTGAGCGAGTGTTTTGAGGAGCCGTTTTTCTACAACCGCTGCTTTGTTAATTTCCTACCATGTGACCGTCGTTCGCATGATTTATGTACACCGGTGACGTCAGCTCCGAATGTGGACTGATGAGTTCTTTGAACGGCGACTCCGATGCGTTTCGAAAATTATCGAAATATTGAACGCGACAATCTTATCGTTCTGTACGGTTTATCGAAATTATTCTATTTTCGGTCCGCGGATTTCGATTATCTCGAATGAAATTCCGAAAATAGATCGCTTGCGTTCGGATCTATCCGTTTGATACTTCGGAATTACCTATCAGATAATTATTGGTATGTTCATTTTGATTGCAACCGATCGCAGTCGTTTTAGGAGGATTCGTTTGTAGACGTCACTTGTTGCTGGGTCATGGATTCCTGTATGAATGTGGACCGTAGTAGGATCCTTCGACCATCTTTATCCTGTCCGCTTTCTCGTGTCCCTCTGTTGCTTTAGGAGGCTGCCACCAGAACTCGTTCTGGAAATGGAATCGACGATAGGTCGGCCAAGAATTTTTTACGTGCGCATTTCACTCGATCGCCTCCTGCCGGATTATTTCGAAATTTACAGTGTCACGGACCTTTCTACTTACTTACGTCTTCCTTGTACCCTCCATCTTTGGTGTACTTTTATTTCGAACACGCGGGGAAAGTTGGAGGCAGGCTAACGTTTATCGAGGGAACACACTCTGCAGGCTAATTTATGCACGCTGAAATTCCATTAACTTTCAAACTCATGAAATTCTTGTAATATTCCGAACTGAACAAAAACATCGAACGCTACCAACAATTACCGTTAAACCGTGAAGCCTAGAAATCACGGTCTACTCGTTGAAACTTCGGCAATTAATTTCAATCGATCCTTCGTGAAAAAGAAACGTGCTTCTGTTTGTTCAGCGGGAAATAGTAACCTAGTCCCTTATCTTTCGTTCTGTTTAGTTGAATATCGAATTACCGGGGGACGCGTTTTATCGTTGGAAACCATGGTCCACCTATTTCCGCTTCAAGGTGCACCCTCGGATTGCGGATCGTTCTCGCAGTATTCTAAGGACGTTCGGTGCCCCGTGAGAAAAGCATTGCCGTAACAGAAGGAATGCGCGGAATTCGCTTAATAACGAGCTCTCTCCGCTCGGGAGGAAGCACTGGTTTAAGAGAACCTATGTAAAGCACTTTGCCGATGTTTACGCTTTACGAAGTGGGGATACTTTCGATAAGGGCTGCGCCGAAGTTTCCGCGTAAACTACATAAATCTCCGAGCCGGAAACCGCTGCGACCGGATTTTATTTTCAACCCATTGCCGGAGGTTAACGATTCATCTGTTTGGACCTTGTTTCAGTGCTTTCTTCCAAATCACCGGAAAGGAAAGTTCGACTACCATAGGACAATCAGCGTATCCGATAGAGGATCCGTAATAAGGAACGATTACGGCGACCTTCGGCGATCTTTACCGTACGCTGAAATTTCTGCTTACGTATTTTTGAATACGTGTCACGTATTGATGACTCAATCGGCGGTACTTCGAGTCCAACGTATAATCTCTGGAAACACGCCTCGATCGCCGTGCACGTACGTTCGAGGCTCGAGCCAGACAGCTTTGAAAACTAGGAACGTTTCAAGTGTAATTTCAAAATAGTTCATGGACTTCTATTCGATAAAATATGAAATTTAGCTTCTATATTTGACCGTGAACCTGCGGCGAGTAGGAGAATATTTATATACTGCGATTTTTGTATATTCTAGATACACGAGTCATTGGTAATATTAGTACAGAAAATCTAAAGGAACAGTATTAACATTTCCATCAGGTATAAGCAGGTAAATAAATAATTGCGAAAATTGTATGAATGATTTAGTAGAATGTCCATAAGAACGAGAAGTGAGATAAATATTCAACAGATTCATGGTTCGTTGTGTAAATACTGGGAGCAAAGGAGAAATGAATTATTTATTATTTTGAAGTCTAGGTTCAGGTGGCAAGGAATCGCAAGTGGAGAGCATATCCTTATACGTTCCCTCGCGAGGACACGGTTGTGTAAAAAATTCAAATCTCACCTGGACGTTACGCCACTGCGTGGGACGATGCACAGTGCAGTCGAGCAATGCACCAAGGTCGAGGCCACGTATACTCGAGAGTGCATCTTGCTCGTGTACGCGTGCGGTCAAACACGCGTCCCGTGTTCACGCTATTCGACGCACGCAAACCAGTGTTAAGTGCAAGGACCTCCCCTTGCGTGTTTCTGAAACGCTTGCTAATTTGTCGGTCGCTATTCATTCTCGCTATGCAATTTTTTTCACTAGTGTGTATCGATCTCTGCTCCCTCCGTTTTTGGCACGAGGCAGAAATCGAGACATCCTGGCTGTACAAAGTCATCGTGTCTTCAGTCTGCGTATCAATGGAAACGTGGAATAAACTAATTCTTTTTAATGAACAGTAGATTTCTATGGAAAGTACTTTTTTTAAATATTTTTACTTGAGAAGTAGGACTTTATTTTACAATTAGAGAATATTAAATGAATCTATGATAACTTCATGACGGTGTGAAATGTCGTCAACGAAGAGGATGTCTTAACGAGATAATGACTTTTGGCGATGAACGTTTTGAATTATTCATATTCTACCGGATTCCAATCTGAGACTCCATTAGTGTACTAATTGGATTCGACTTATCGAATGTAATTTGTTTACAGTAATAGTATCATTGTCTCTTTATTAAGCCCTTTGTGAAGTTTATGTTAAAATTTGTTAGAATGTAACGAACTCGGGTTTTAGAAGCCTCAAACTTCAAAATTATTTGTTCTTAAAGAATCTAATGATTCCTCATTTTCAGTTGGGTGTATTTTGTATAAATTGATACGCACTTATCAAATTCGTTTTATCTCTGTTTCATATTTCCTCGAATAAGCATTGAGTTCAGAGGAATGTGATGCAGCTTACTTTCGAAGGTTGATGATGTCAGCTAAATTTAATACGATCAAATATTTCTCATCGCATTCAGGGGTTCGTGTATGTACTAATTTTTCATAATTCACCCGTTACGTATGTACGCGCATAGGTACGTATATACTTTCTCACGTTGCAGCGTCGATACGGTATGATTAATCTGGAATGCTTTTTAAGGGTGTATCGGCATCCAATCTTTTACGGCACTGTTTCACGCATGCCAGGTGCAATCACGCTTGACCACTCGATCCTTTCTTGCTGGTCGAATCACTTACGATTTCCATCGAAGGATGATTAAAACCGGATCGAATTAAAACCGGTCAAGGTGACGTCCTTGCAACCTGGATGGTCTTTGGGCGAAGGAATTCGGTTTTACGAGAGATCATCGATCACTCTGCTTCATGTAAATAATTATTTATACTTAATGCCTCTCAGTGGATTGAACAATCGATTACTGTAAACTCGAATTTCAATTGCAAATACTCAAAAATGTTTTCAGACAATAGGACAATTAGAAAATAGAATATAAAGTCGTTACTACACACTGAAATATTCCTTCAGACATTGTATTCGAGGTTCTACGATAAAACTTCGGGACACGAATACGTCTTTTTATCTTCTACACATTCCCTAGATTACACGGGAATTTGTCGATAACTAAATTTCTTTTATCAAGATGCGCATGTCGAGACGATAAAGTAAAGAACGATACGCTGCGCTGAAAATAAAGAGAGCAACACATAGGACAACGGTATTATTTTCTAGACAACTTTATTACATATCAGAATACAGCCTACAGTTTGTAAATTAGATACTTATCGATATACTCTTAAATATAAGTAACATCCGGCAGGCTTAAATAAGAGACATTGCCATCTAAAGTCCATTAAAAAATATGAAAAAACGATTGTTAACCGGATTAAAAAATAAATCTTGAAAAGTCATAATGCACATTGCTTTGCTTCTTGTTCATTTTCATTTTTTCCTTTTCCATTTATTATCGATTACAAAAAATTGTCCCCAGTGTGTCGGTGTGATTATGTTCATTGTATTAATATGTATATGTGTGGGCCGCGCGGGCGCGTGTAACGATATGTAATTGTGTTCACATTATGTGCGTGTCCGCCAATATTCAGGGGGTGTGATCGTTAGATTCCCGTTTTCGTCAGCACTGGGTCACGGAAAGGTACCGGACGTGCATATACGGATTTCCCCTCACGTATTTCCTGCGTTCACCGATTCCCCTCCTTGTGTGTGTCCGTCTAGATTCACAACATGTACATCTGTGTTTATGTTAGAATGTCGAGGAAGAGCCCGTGGCAGTGAACAGAATGGGTATGTAAATGTAACCTACGATCTATAAT